ACTGTAGCCAGCCAGGAGCTGGTAGCTCACACCTATAATCCTAGCTACTCAGGGGCTGAAATATAAGGATCATAGTTTGAAGCCAGCCTGGGCAAGAAAGTCCATGAGACTCTTTTCTCCAATTAACCACCCAAAAAAAGCCAGAAGTAGAGCTGTGACTCAAGTGGTAGAACACTAGCCTTGAGCACAAAAGTTCAGGGACAGTGCCCAGGCCCTGAGTTCAAGCTCCAGGACTGGCATTCTCAGAGAGAGAGAGAGAGAGAGAGAGAAACTGTAATTAATTCCTCTAAAAATAAGGAAAATGATTATCACTGTTTCCAGAATTATTCACTATAGTGCTGGAAATAATAGCCAGAACAATAAAACAAGAGAAAAATATAAAAAATAATACAAATGGGAAAGGGTGGAGACAAGCTATCCTTATTTGAAGATGATATTATCCTATATTTGAAGGGTCCTGGAGTTTCCACCATCATCTCCTAAAATTGATAAATACCTTTGACAAAGTAGCTGGATACAAAATAAACACAAAATAAGTCCATAGCTTTTCTTTCTGCCAATAAACAGATAGAGAAGGAACTCAAGAAAACAAATCCATTTGCAATATCCTTTTTTTTTTTGTCCGTCATGGGGCTTGAACTCTGGGCTTGGGCATTGTCCTGGCGCTCTTCAGCTCAAGGCGAGTGCTCTACCGCTTGAGCCACAGCGCCACTTCCTGCAACGTCCTTTAAAAAAAAATTCTAGGCATAAACCTAATCAAGGCAGTGAAGAACCTCTATCATGAAACTACAAAACAATAACAAAGGGAACAATTATGACGGAAATTTCTATTAAACAGCAAATTAACACAATCTGATGCCGAAGGAATTTATTGGAAGAAATCTCCTTGAAAATTAAACAGAACAGTTAAGAAATGTTAACATTAGATGCTCAGTGATATGGAAAACAGAACAAGAAATCCAATAATCTTTGCCAGCTATTTTCTTTCTCATGAATTTACATGAATAAAAACTTGCTGGGTTGCTAGAAAACATGACAGCTAGATCCGGAAGAGAGGATGCTGCTCCCAGTGTGAGAAGATTCTTGTTCCTTGCCATTCGGTCTGAACTCTTAGAGCTCTGCCTTCCTTGATTGTTTCTGATATGAAAAAGAGAAAATAATTTCCCCAAATATTACTTCATGATCCTAATCCCCATTTGGTTCCCTATTCATCATAACCATTCCATGAGTTCAAGTCACGCTTCCTTGTAAGAGAGGTCCTCACTTTACAAACCATGAAGAGTTTGCAGGCAATTGAGAAGTCTATAGAACTCTGTTACAGCAAGGTGATGCATGGTTGCTGGACAGCGGTTGCTGGTCCAATATCTGAAAAGTTGTCTACACCATTAGCCTCGTTTTATATGTGAGCTACTGTGATATTCAAACTTTGATTCTGTAAACTTTGAATGGCTTTCTGAGTCTTGTCTGGGCAGAATCACCCTCTTTTTCTATCAGAGAGTTGAGAGAATTTTACCAACATATCCCACATATACTCTCTTAACTTTGCAAAACCTGCAATAGGAAAATATGACATGAAAAATGATGACATGATGCTTATTTGAAATTTTCTGCTAGTTACAGAGGTCAATTTACATAGCCCAATGTCCACTCAAATTTAATGCCATAACCTCAGCAGTCATAATCAGGATAAGTTATGACTCTACTAAGTTATAATTCGTGTATACTTTAATGCCTTGATTTTCTGAATTAGCCCTAAGGAATTATAAACTGTCCAACTTACAGGACTACTGTACTCAATCAGATCATTCATACCAGCTATTTTAAGAAATGTAGAAATGGACATATATGTCTATGTGTGTATTGTGTGTAATGAAAGTTTGTAAGCAAGTAAGTATATGTACATGTATAATTTAATATCATGAAGCTCTGTTGCAAACTAATTGGTCCATCCTGGGGAAATCTCTTAATGTGTCTGACTTGGAAACAGAATTTAGGAATACATCCCAATGCCCTTATACAAGCCCCAAACCTTTCAAGGTCAGTAAGGAAATTACAATCCTGAGATCATGGTAGGACCAGAGGGAAGTACAGAATTGTTCCACATGGCAAAGCAAAGCAGGAAATCAGCAGGGAACAACTCCATGACAACTACACCAGAGAATAAGTATCTGCTAGGTTTTTTTCTCCCTTTAATTGGCTTTTTTTCTTTCACCTCTGCTTCCTGCAGCACATTTAAGAGCACCACTAATGTGGTCACCTCTCCTGTTGTGAGGGGACAGCTATGTTTGCAGCCAACAGCACAAAACACAAGAGCAGATCTACTTAGAAATTTTCTCTAGAAAAAGACATAGGTATTTTGTCTTTAACAAAGACTGTCTTCTTACAAGATGTGTGCAAAGGTTAGAGGGCAAAACTTATCATAGTAGACTCTGGGCCAGCTGAAGATCACCGTGATTTTTGTAATAGGATCCATACAGAACAGGAATTATGAAAAGCAGTCTCTCATTCTTCATTTCTTTTCTTCCTTTCCCTCTCATGCCCTGCACCTAGGGTTCTTTCTCTTCTTTTTTCCCTCCTTGCTCAAATTCTCTGACACGCATTGAGTTGCTTGTTTTTAAAATTATATTTTTATGATCATTAAGTAGTGGTACAAGGGAGTCGAGTAGAATATTTTTATGATCTTTAATTAGCATCAATTAGTTGTACAAGGGATTTTATTTGCACATGTCCATATATGCATATAATGTACCTTAATCAAGTGTACCCCCTAGTAAACTAAAATAATCTTAAAACCAAAAGTTTGCAGGTATTACTCTGGAATTACATCTGGAAATTTACATTTGAAGGATACCTGTGGAAGTAGGTATAATAATCATCTAAATCCAAATGATACATGCCAACATATCTTGACCGGTTTTAAAGTCAGTAATTAATTACTGTGGTTTAAATCATAATGCATTGTGTTTCAGAAGAATTACCTAAGATCAACATAGTCTTATCTTTGGTTCTCTATTGTCTTCCTCCTTGGATCCTTTTAATTTCCTTTTTTGCTCTTCAGGATCTGTTTTTGGAATAATAATTAATTTTATTTTCATTTAAACATGGAGCTTGATTCATGATTCTGCATACTAAAATTAAATGGGGTTTAACATATACTCATGAACAATTTTATTCACCTTTTAAAATTATTTCAAACAACTCCACATTTTCATTTTTCATGAACCTCAGCTTCCGGAAACAGGAACCAAACAATACACATATTGGAGGTGCACTCGGGGCACAGACATGTTCATCTAAATATCCTCTTTATGTTGATTTTTTTATTGTGAAAATACCATACAGAGGGGTTACAATTAAATGAGCAAGGTAATGAGTGCATTTCTTATCAAGCATTGTTGTCTCCTCCTTTGTTTAAGCTGATTTTACTTTTATTGCTCATTGAGCAACATGCTCAGCCTTGCCTGATTTTGTACCTTGTGAATCTTCTCAAATTGACTGTATCTTGGAAAAGGAATTGGAATGAAACTTGATTAGCTATATCCGTCTAGTATCATGTCTATTGTGTTTACATCAGACAATTTTTCTTCTCCAATTGTCTTGAAAGACATAAGGTGAAAAAATAGTGAATATATTCAGAACTTTGTCCATTTTCTTCTAGCTTGCCAAATGGTATGAGATAAACACTGAGGATCAATTTTACTAAAAATAAAAAAATATTTCACTCTTTTAGGAAAGGTGGGTTACAATTAATACATTTTACCATGGTTGCCTGTGTCTCTAGAATGCATTGGAACAGTGATGAGTTTCTTTGCTACTAGAGGATCATTGGAGGATAATCGGTTTGTTGAATTCACCAGCTGTATCAGTGTCTGAGAGATGCCATCTGCTGCAGGTAGAGGTTCTGAAATGTTTTCATTAAATCTAACTCATCCTGGATAGAGATTCTGAGAAGTTGAATTAGCAATATCTTTTCTAAAAGAAAATATAGACCATGATGCTCACTGACTTTGTCACAGTAATTACTATATCTTTGGGTTAATTACCTCGCCTTAAAATGTAAATGTTAGGCCATTAAAATTGGAGGGGGGGAAACCAATCCTTCCCAATAAACTAGTTCAAGAACTAACATGTTTTCCTTGAGAAAACATTGGAATCATTTTGCTTGTATTTGGTAACCAAGAAGAAGCATACATGTATACATAATGTACTTTGATGATATTTGTCTACTCTATTGCTCTTTTTTATTCATTTGCCCTATTTCTTCTCCTTCTAGCTCCCTGAACTTTCCCTAGCTTCCACAAATTAGAGAAAACCTGTCACACTGCATTATGTACATAGATAACATTTTTATATCTATGCATCTGACCATGGGCAAAAGGGTTGATTCCTGGTTTGGGTATTTGAATTATTCCATAATAAATTGGGTATGCACATAACTCTACAGTGAACTTCAATTCTTTAGCGGGCATTCCCAAAATGGTGTGACTAGATCATATAGTAATTCCATTTATAAATTTCATTTATTATCCTTAAGTAATTGTACAAAAGAAAGGTATCAATTCAATGTATCAGTTTTTAACACATTGATCTCATCCACAGTGGTTGAATTATTCATATTTCCACCAAAAGTTAGTGAGAATTCTTTTTTCTCACATCTTGCCAGGATTTGTTATTATTTATCTTCTGGATGATGGTCACCCTGACTGCTGTGTGGTAGAATTTCAAAGTGGTTGAAAATGTGAAGCCTTTATTCATGTATGTCGTGACCATGTTACTTCTCATAAAATTCCATAAATTATTTGGAACCATGAACCGGACAGATCCTTGTTGAAACTTGAGGAGGGAAGCAGAGATTTACCATAAAAGTAAAATATAGTATTTCTCTTCTCCAGAGTTCATTGGAGGAAAAGAGATAAATTTTTAAATGCTAATGCTGCAATTGTACCTGAATCAACAATGCATTCTCTTGTCTCCTTTCTCCTATCAGGAACACCAAGGCAATGATTGGGGCAGGAAATCTTACAGAGATCACCCAATTCCTCCTCCTGGGATTCACAGATTTTCCCAGGATCCTAGTACTGCTCTTTGTGACATTCCTGCTCATCTACATTACAACACTGACCTGGAACTTGTCCCTCATTGTGCTAATCAGGATGGATTCCCACCTCCATACACCCATGTATTTCTTCCTCAGTAATCTGTCCTTCATAGATCTCTGCTACATCACCTCCACAGTCCCCAAGATGCTCTCCAACTTCTTCCAGGAGCGGCAGATGATCAGCTATGTGAGTTGCTTTGTTCAGTACTTCTTCTTTTCAACCCTGGGCCTGAGTGAATCTTGTCTCATGACAGCCATGGCTTATGACCGGTATGCTGCCATCTGCAAACCACTGCTCTACTCATCCATCATGTCTCCCACCCTCTGTGCTCACATGGTGTTGGGAACTTACACAGCTGGACTCACTGGTTCTTTTTCCCAATTGTGTGCTTTGCTTCAGCTCCACTTCTGTGGGCCTAATGTCATCAGGCACTTCTTCTGCGACATGCCCCAGCTGTTACATCTATCCTGCACTGACACCTTCTTTGTACAAGTACTGACTGCTGTGTTGATAATGGTATATGGGATAGCAAATGTCCTAGCTATCATCCTATCCTATGTCTATATTGTAGTGGCCATCAGGAAGATCACTTCCACTAAAGGCAGGGCCAAGGCCTTCAACACCTGTGTGTCTCACCTGACAGCTGTTTCCTTCTTTTACGCCTCCAGTATCTTTGTCTATCTGAGTTCCAGCTCTGGTGCATCCTCTAGCTTTGACAGATTTGCATCAGTATTCTACACAGTGGTGATTCCCATGTTGAACCCCTTGATTTACAGTCTCAGGAACAAGGAGATCAAAGACGCCGTTAAGAGATTACAGAAGAAAGCATGCTTCTATGAAAGTCATAGATTGGGAGATTTCTAATAGATTGTTTCTGCCAGAATCATCTTACCCCATAAAAAAATATGGTCAAAACTAGAACATTGGAATGAGAACAATGACCCCCAGGGGATGGAGAAATTTTTATTTGTGCTTGTGTGAAAGACCTCAGCCTTTCTTTGTTCTTAAATTATTATGAAACCACCTAGTAGTTGAGATTACAAATTAACCCATGGATTCTTACAGGAATTCTAAAAAGTCTTTAAAATGTTGACTCTCATTGTAAAACATACCCCAAAAATGGGAAACAACATAGTAATATGGTTAAGATGTCAGACTTTGAGGTTTGCTCTTAAATTTAGTTGTCTCAGTACCCTAACTTCATGAAGCTTGATTCGTGTATTACAAATTGAGAACAATGGGTTCTTGAACTATATGGAAATGTGTGCACAAATGCTCAACACGTGATCTGGTACATTATAATTGCTGACGAGGTATTGGTTATTATCATTGACTGCAGACAAATAGTCATGATGAGCTCCATGCCTGTGTATAGAGATTTGCAAGTGCTACTAGCTTTTTCTCCCCTCCAACCCCTGCTTCCTTTTTCAACATCAGCCTGGTAGAGAGTTGGGCATCATTGCCTTCAGCCAGGTGTAGGTATAGACCAAATGTCTATGCAGGTCGGACCACCTAGAACAATGAATGCATGCCACATTGGCCTTTTTCTGTTCAGTTACCTTGTCTTGGAGTATATTCAGTCTACTCAGCATCAAAAGAATGAGCTTTAATCTAGAGAAAGCTTCAATACTTGCTTCTGAGATTCTATTGGAAGTATAATTCTTGTACACAAAACTAACCAGGTAAGGATCACTAGTAGTTGTATCACTGATAATACCCATAAGCTATGCTACACAAACTAAAAGATCCTTACCTAATATCAGAATGAGTCTGGGAAAGTAGCCAAAACTTTCAAGTCTCTTTTTGAAATATTTTTATCTTCAAGTAGCCATACAAAGAAGCTTCCATCCAACAAAGCAGTTTGTGAATCCAGTTGGTCTTGATCAATGTAACCTCTTTCAACAACTTTACCCATCCCCTCCAAAACTATCTCTTCCCTCCATTTTCTTAAATTTTGTAGGATATACATTGAATTTTTTTACTGCATTTTCCCCTCTTTTCATTCATTTTCCCCCTTCCCTTACCTTCCCTAACCCTTTCAAGTACCCTTTTCCTGGTGTTCATTCGTTGAACTATAATTTTTGACTTTTTAAGGAATTATACTTTTTGACTTTTTAACATGAATAATTAGAAAGGATTTAAACTTTCAGATATTAATAAGTATTGATAATTTATTGTTGTATAATAAGAGACATGCTTTAAAAAAGAAGGAGACATTTCAGAAATAAATTTAAGTATTGGCAATAACAAATTTTACATATAATAAAAGTTGTATTTCAAGTTAATAGGGAAAAGACAGACATTTCAATAAATGATCTGTGTGACCTTATTCACTTTGGGCAAAAGAATTAGCAGGAATGTAAAAGGTATTTCTGAAGCATAACACCAAAACAGAGTATAAGATAAAAATATTAAAAAATAAAATAATTTAAACCTTGGTTCTGACAGAACAAAACTCCAGTTAAAACAAACTGGAACACAATTATAAACTAGTAAAAATAGTAACAAGTCATTTTTAAAGGACAATGTAGTAATGACTTTGAAATACAAAACATCTTAAAAATAAACCACTGGGAATACAAAATGGTTATAACTTCTGGAGGAAATTTTTCTCTGCTTTTTCTTTTCTTTTTTTTTGGGGGGTCTGGTCATGGGGCCTGAACTCTGGGCCTGAGCACTGTCCCTCAGCTCTTCATCTCAAGGCTAGCGCTCTACCACTTGAGCCACAGTGCCACTTCCAGCTTTTTTCTTTTTGCTTATGTGGTGCTAAAGAATCGAACCCAGGGCCTCAAGCATGCAAGACAAGCTCTCTACCACTAAGCCATCTTCCCAGCCCCTCTCTGCTTTTTCTATCTCCCACCTTGTTCTTATTCTCTCTCATCTTCCATTGCTTACACACACATATATCACAATATCATATTTTCTATGTCAAACATTAAATGTAATAGGTGATTTATTTTCTTCTTCATATTTACCTGTGTGTCTCAATTTTCTACAGATCCCATATTTGCAATAATAAAATAATAAAACAATATATATAGATATATATTGTTAATGCTAGTATGTGAATTGATCAAGGAGACAAATGAGAGGGAGGAAGAGAGAAAGGGGGAAAGAGAGAAAAGTAAAGTATAACATTTCCTACATTTACTTACTTTATTTCTCATTTGCCCCATGTATAAATAGAAGCAAAGACATTTACACCCTTATAGCATTGTTTCAGGGACTAATTTACCGAAAGGGCTTAAATGAGTAGGAGCTTGATAAAGGTTATAAACTGTCTTTCCAGTCATCTCTTGTCACTGCAAAACTGAGGAATGGTGAGCTGGCAGTGAACTGTTAAGGTGCTCTTGATAAAAATTATTTCCTATATTAAATGCCCTCAAGACTCAGGACTATTGTAACCAATCACCATACCCATCTCCATCTCTTATTGTGCTGTTGCCCCATCCTGATGAATTGCCTATTCCTGATGCCCCATCACATCCCTGGAGCAGAGAATGCAGTCTCCTCACGGTGATGGGCTAGAGGCAAGTTTTCACTAAACACTATGGAGCAAGCCAGGCACTGGTGGCTCACGCCCATAATCTTAGCTACGCAGGAGGCTGAGGACCATGGTTCAAAGCCAGCCCGGGCAGGAAAGTCCGTGAGACTCTTCAGTTAATCACCAGAAAACCAGAAGTGGTGCTGTGGTTCAAGTGGTAGAGCACTAGCCTTGAGCTGAAGAGGTCAAGGACAGCGCCCAGGCTCAGAGTTCAAGCCCTATAACCAGCCAAAAAACCCGATCTGGAGCATATGTGCACAAACATGTACCTCATTCAAACACTAACTATATGCTAAGTGCATTAGCAAATAGCTTTGGGTGTGAAGCCAAGAATAAAATACTGCCATTAGGTTTTTATGAATTTGAAAATCTTTCTCTTTACTCTTTTAATGTGTGTGCCTGTACTAGGATGCTTGAATTCAGGGCCTAGATACTATCCCTTCGCTTTTTTATTCTAGGCTGGCTCTCTACCACTTGAGTCATAGCTTCATTTCTGGCTTCTTTTCTTTTCTTTTCTGGTGGTTAACTGGAGATGAGAGTCTCCCAGATTTATCTGAACTGTGATCCTCGGATTTCAGCCTCCTGAGTTAGCTGGGGTTAATGTCTATGAGTTAGATTTAATAAAAAGTAATTTGAAATTACAAACCCACAAACAACATACCCAAACTCCACTATCATTTGTGAGTTCAGTGAAAAAAAGCTCCTCAGCGATATTAAATTTCACCACTATTTTATTACTGTTGAAACCCACAGCCATATTTAAGTATACTCTGATATCTGGCTTTCCAGCAATACAACCAGGAGCAGCAGATTATTTTTTAATTGATGAAAAAATCCTGAAACTATATCTTCTTTCAATTTGGTAAGCTAGAGGAAGAGGCGATAAATTTGATCAAAGCACATTATATGAATGTATGCTAGTACCACAATGAAACCCGTGTGTAGGTTAATTTATGCTAATAAAATGTTAATTTTAAAGGAGGTATTATATGAGCTTGTTACTACTATTAGCTTTATATTATCAGGTGAAAAAACTAACTTTGCTAGGTTAATCTCCTTAAAGGCACACAACCCCTAAAGGCCAGATCCAGAATTCAATGCAAACAAGTATGATTTCAACATTGATCATTGTTTTTTAATGTACATTAATTGTTACCTTTAAGTAGTTGTACGAGGAGGTTGTAACTGGGCATGTTGATTACAGTCACCCTTCTATCATTTCCACCCTCCCACCTACACCTTACCTCACCAGTATCAAGTTCCCTAGTTCCAATTCAAGTATGTACATTTAGTCTTATAACTGTATTTTCCCACGATTCCTCTTTCCATCCAGCCCCTCCCTACAGTCACCCTACAGTCAAGACAATTTCAATTTCCCGTTGTTTAGTTTGTTAACCTGTTATTTGTTTAATGGGTTTAGAGCATATAATCCTGCATATGCTTTCATCGATTCGATCATTAGATGAATGACCCTTTATGCATTTACATCTATGTTATGTTTTAGGTCTCAGATCTATATATGAGAGAAAAACATGTGTCTTTGTTTTTCTGAGTCTGGTTTTTTTTTTTTTTTTTTTTTGTCGGTCGTGGGGCTTGAACTCTGGGCCTGGGCGCTGTCCCTCAGCTCTTCAGCCAAGGCGAGCGCTCTACCACTTGAGCTACAGCGCCACTTCTGGTTTTCTGGTGGTTTATTGGAGATGGGAGTCTCACGGTCTCTCCTGCCCGGGCTGGCTTTGAACCTCAATCCTCAGATCTCAGCCTCCTGAGTAGCTAGGATTACAGGCGTGAGCCACCAGCGCCTGGCTCTGAGTCTGGTTTGCTTCATTCAATAAACCTTCTTCCAGATCCATTCAGCTCCCTACAAGTGACCTAATATTATTCTTCCTGATGGATAAATAAAATTCCACTGTCTATCTGTACTGGATCTACTTGGAGAGTGAAGGGCACCTGGGCTGTTTCTGTAAAGGAGCTATTGTGAATAATCCTGCAGTATGGGGCTGGGAAGGTGGCTCAGTGGTAGAGCACTTGCCTTGCATGCATGAGGCCCTGGGTTCCATTCCTCAGCACCACATAAGCAAAAAGAAAAAAGCCGGAAGTGGTGCTGTGGCTCAAGTGGTAGAGCGCTAGCCTTGAGCTGAAGAGCTGAGGGACAGCGCCCAGGCCCAGAGTTCAGGCCCCACGACCAGACCCAAAAACATAATAGTAATAATAATCCTGCAGTAAACACGGGTATGCAGGTGCCCTTGCTGTATCCTAGCTTACTTTTATCACTACCCATAAAATCCCTCAAAGCATAACTTTGTCCTGAAAACATAAAAGCATTCATGCTTTCATCTACGTAAGTTGTAGCCATGAGAACTGACGTTTAAAATATGCTCAGTGTCCTTCACCCTGTCTCAAGACACATCACTCCTGGGCAAATAAAGAAACTGACAGCAAGAATTAAAGAAGCCAGGCTTTCATATCTCTCTACCTAGCCACAAAAGGACTGCACATACTCTCCTATTGACCCCTCTTCAGCCTTCTTACAGATCATAAAGTCTGCCCGATATTATCCTTTCTGAGGTAAACTTGTGGCCTCTTTCATCACCCTTTTTAGGGCTTCTTTGATCTCTGTATTCCTCAGACTGTAGGTGGGGGGGGGTTAACCTGGGGATGAGGATGGTAGGTGTAGATCATGGATAGCACTTTGTCCTGCGTTTTGGAGTGTCTAACGTTGTGGTACATGTACTAAGAGAGGACTGTGCCCTAGAAGAGTGTCACAGTTGCCAGGTGAGAGGCACAGGAGTTTTGTTTGTTTTTGTTGTTTTGGGTTTGTTTGGGGTTTTTTTGTTGGTTGTGGGTCTTGAACTCTGGGCCTGGGCGCTGTCCCTCAGCTCTTCAGCACAAGGCAAGTACTCTACCACTTGAGCCACAGCATCACTTGCAGTTTTCTGGTAATTTATTGGAGATAAGAGTTTCATGGACTTTCCTGCCCACGCAGGCTTTGAATCACAATCCTAGATTTCAGCCTCCTGAGTAGCTGGGATTACAGGTGTGAGCCACCAGCACCCGGCTGAGGCACAGGTTATCCAGAGGATAACCAGAAAAGAACCAAAGCCCACAAAGACAGCTCCCAGGAAAAGAATCAGTCTGCTGATGGAAGGATCAGAGCAAGACAAGGAAACAGTCTGAGACAGGTCCCAGAAGAAGTGCTGAATGGCATGTGGTCCACAGTAATGGAGATAAAAGCAAGGAATGGTTTGAACTAAGCTACTAAGGAAACCACACCCATAGACCCCAGCCACCATCTTCTGACAGAGACTGCGAGCCACCATGGCCAAGTACTGTAGATGGCTACCACTGGTAACGTATCTGTCATAGGCCAAGCAGCCAAGAGGCAGCACTGACACATACCCATTCAAGCCAATACAAAATACTAGGTGGCACAGGCAATGAAGGAAATTGTTTAGTTGATATTTAAGAGATCATAAAGCATCCTTAGGCCGGTGGGGGGAAGAATAACAGATGTCTATAAAGGATAGAAAACTGAGAAAAAGAATACATAGGTGTTTTAAGTGTGAGTCCATTCTGATGAGACCCAGGCTCCAGGCCAGCATCACAAGGTAAATCCACCTGGAGACCAGAAAGAGGATGACTGCAGGTGCTTATCAGCTGAGAGTCCCCAGAGGACAAACATGGCCACAGAGGTGTCGTTTGTATCTCCTGCTGTCATCTTCTGAGCAAGAGATTAGAGAAGCAAATGATCCGACTTCCCAAAAGATCATAAATATGAATCTTCCTTCTGTTTTTCAGCCATGCAAGTGATGGCATTGAGTTCATCTCGTGCTTTCCACTCATCAGCTCTAATTAAACCTTTCTCTTGGATAAATACTATTATTCTTCATTCTGGGACAAACAGGGATGCAATTCACCAGCTTGAAGTAGGCAGGAAGTTAAGGACTGGAGAAGACACTTGTATATTCTTTTTAAGAATTTCTCTAGAATGACAGCTTATCTCAGAGACCTTGTTGTACGAATGGACAGGACAGTGATGACATAATTAAATACACGGTCAATAATGAGACCACCCTATCACTGGATATAGAAACTCAGGAATGAAAAAGCAACATGGCTAGCTGTTCTCAAAGGAAGAGACAAACAGGACGGTAATGTGGTCTCTTGGAGAAAGAAGAAATGATCAGGGATGCAAATGGTTTACAAAAGCTGCAGATGTAACCGAGGAAAGGGGAAATCGCAGCTTTTAAATGGTGAGCATTACAAAATGAATGCCTGCCTACAGATGCTGCGGAGAGACAAATCACCAAAAGAAACTCTGCAGAGAACTGTGGTAAAACAGGGACTTTGTGGTTGATCCTAGAGGCATATTTTAATTGTCACATTGCTTTCCTTGCTCACTAGATTTTACCATTTCAAATTAAGTCTTGCTTTTAGTAACCTCTTATTTAGAAGGAAGACCTAATTTTTCCTTTTTTTTCCCAGACAAAACTTATCTTGGGGTAAAGTTTGGCTTGGGCTCAGCTTTTTCTCATACTGTTCCCCATGTCCACTTCCTGTGTGTTAAAGTACATTGAAACCATCTCTATATTTAGATGATTCTTCCACAGACTTGCTTCTCCAGCCTAAATAAATAATATAGTTCCCCTAATGGTATGTGCCAGTGGCCACATCTGTAATCTTAGTTACTTAGGAAGCTAAAATATGATAATTAAGGTTCAAAGGCAGGCTGGACAGGAAAGTCTGTCTTATCTACAAATAATCACCAAAAAAAAAAAGCTAGAAGTAGAGCTGTGGCTTAAGTGATAGAGCACTTAATTTTTAGGTAAGAAAATATTCCATTTGTTTGGTTTAGGTAGTGATAAATCATTACATAATCATAATAACACCTCTTGGAAATTTACTCAACAGAGTTACAATTATCAGTGTCTATACACAGTGATTTACAATAAATTTACTATTTTTATTTATTATATTTCTATTTTTCAATTAGGCATTGAGACTTTTCTAAAGACACAAGCGTGTGTGTGTGTGCGTGTGTGCGTGTGTCTGTGTCTCTGTGTGTGTGTGTGCGTGTGTCTGTGTCTCTGTGTGTGTGTGCGTGTGTCTGTGTCTCTGTGTGTGTGTGTCTGTGTCTGTGTGTGTGTGTGTGTCTGTGTCTGTGTGTGTGTGTGTGTCTGTGTCTGTGTGTGTGTGTGTCTGTGTCTCTGTGTGTGTGTGTGTGCAGCCAGTAGCAGGGTTTGAGCAAGGCTTGCTTGCTCACTTGGCAGGTGTTTTGCCACTTGAGCTGTGTCTCTAACCTAGCTTTTTACTGGTTATTATGGACTTGGAGTATCATGGAGTTTTAGTGTCTGGGATGTCTTCAAAACACATTCCAGCTCTCAGCCTTCTGAATAACTAGAATTTACAGGTACAAGCCACTGGTGCCTGGCTCAGGTACACACTATTTAATTACTTACTAGTTATTTATGGCTGCCTAAAAAAGACCATAGTCAAATACATTTATTTCTATTCTTTACTGCCAATTCAAAGATACATACCATGTTTCAAGAGAATGTCAAGAATCGTCACTGTCTTCAGCTCTTTGTCTAAGTTCTCATCTAGGATTTATCCAACTTGATAAAAATAATACTTCATACTAAATTGAAGTGAGCTGACCCCCTGGACAAAGTCACAGATGCTGACCAGTATCTTAAAAGCTGGAGTTTATTGGCTTAATCAGATGGGACTAACTCAATTCAGGAGCGAGCAGCCTCGACCTCAAATAGCTCAGGGTTTATAAAGGCAAAAAATGCATTCTTTTAGAGCAGATGCAAGCAAGCTGGTGTACAGAAGCAGAACTTAGCAGTTATTTTGCAAACACGTAAATCACAAACGTTCCTGAAACAATGAAAACCATAAATACCCCTGTAACAATTTCTTGACCTACAGCAACGGGCAGTTCCTGGTTTCGGGGCCAGGTGTTTGCTTTTTTGAAACTAGTCATTACAGTAGAAGGGAGCAGCCAGGGGCAAATGGGCCAGGTACACCACAAGGGGCAGCCAGGGTGTGAATAGACCTGGTCCTGTCCTCAGAACTAGTTGTTCCAGTTCAATCCTGCCTTGCAAGTTTGGCCCTATTCTTAAAAATCAATAATGTTGATCTGTTTCTAATTTCACATTTTATATTCTTTTGGGGGGAGGTCATCACAAAATGAAGGTGTTCTCTTTTGATGTCTAAGAACCCTTGAATATTGTTTAAAAGTTGGCACTGCTGGCCTGAGAGACAATTCTTTGGTTTTATTTAAATAACTGCAGGGACTAATTTTTTGCATAGTTAATTGAATTCCACAAGGTGGTTGTCCCATTTCATTGTTAATGCTCAATGCAGAATTCCTACGTTCATAGATCTAAAGAGCATTAGCACACCCCATTAGTAACAGTGGCTGGCTTATAGCCACGATTCTACAGCCTGGGAATATCTTCTCTCTGGTCCCCATTTCCTCCAAAGAAAATATTTGAGAATCTCAGAATAGGGAAAGGAATCATGTTTGAGAAAAGAGTTGCCTTCTTCAGGTTATTATGAGAAACAGTGTCAAAAGAATGACCACCTTCAATGCCCTACTAACATTTTTCAATAGTTTCCCTCCTACAGATGCAAACTCTATTTGGATGTTCTACGTTGTTTTTTGTTAAAATTGTGAAGTTTCCTATTAAACAGAGCATTTGAGATCTCAGTCCAGAGCTGGAGGCACACCTCAAGTGGTAGAGTGTTTGCCTAGCAAGAGTGAGACTCTGAGTTCAATCCCCAGTACCACAAAAAAGAAATAATAATAATATAATAAAAGAAAACTTCAGCCTATGCTATACTATTTATTCTAGAAGTGAGTAATGAACACACCATTTTCAATTGCCAATAGAGGAACTGGTTCACAGAAGAGAAGAAAAAGCTTAGTCCATACCAAAGTATCAGTAGATCAACTCATCTGAAACCACATGCATGTCTACACAACGCATTGCTTCCGTGAAGACACAGCTTGGATTCAGAAACATGAAAGTCCAGGAATGAACACGTGGTCCCTTTCCATAACTTTCCTTATGGCATTTTTAATCTCCTTATTCCTAAGACTGTAGATGACAGGATTCATCATAGGGATCACCACCGCATAGAAAATGGACACCACCTTGTCCCGGTTCAAGGAGTAGCTGGAACGAGGCCGCATGTACATGAAGAGACCAGAGCCATAGAAGAGGGTCACGGTGGTCAGATGAGAGGCACAGGTGCTGAAGGCCTTGGTCCTACCTTCAGCTGAGCTGATCTTCAGGACAGCAGCCACAATGTAGCCATACGAGATGAGGATGATAAGCACAGACACCACTCCATCGATACAACCCAGAATGAAGCACAACACCTGACTAGTGAAGGTGTCCGAACAGGACAAAGCCAAGATTGGAGGAAGATCGCAAAAGAAGTGGTTGATCACGTTGGGCCCACAGAAGTCATTCTGATAGATGGAGCAGGTTTCAACCAGAGAACTAAGGAATCCGCCCACATAGGCACCTGCCACCATCTTTAAACAAAGTGTGTGGGAAATGAGAGCAGTGTAAAGCAGCGGGTTGCAGATGGCAGCATACCGGTCGTAAGCCATGGCGGCCAAGAGAAAGCATTCAGTCAGCCCCATGCCACAGAACACGAAGTACTGCATGGCACAGCCAAGCAAGGAAATGGTTTTCTGCTCTGTGATGATGACAGAGAGCATCTTGGGGGTGGTGGAGGAGACATAGCAGATGTCTATGAAGGACAAGTTTCTGAGGAAGAAGTACATGGGAGTGTGAAGGTGGGGGTCCATCCTGATCAAAGCGATGAGGGTCAGGTTCCAAATTAGGGTTAGGAAGTAGATCCCCAGAAATAATGCAAATAGGAAAACCTTCATTTGGGGATTATCTGTAAAACCCAGCAAGATAAACTTGGTCACAGAAGTGTTGTTCCTTCCTACAGCCATAGACTTGCGTCCTGCATAAGAGAGACAGAGAGAGAGAGACAAAGAAAGACACAGAGAAAAAGGAGAGAGAGAGAGAGAAAGTAATCCTGTGGCCAGAGAGAGTGTGTATTTATTATTCCAACAAGGGAAACTTTTTTCCTGGAATATCCTATGGACAGTGAGCCTCCAGTTACAGTTCCAACTAATTTCTAGCAAAATCTCAGAACAAATCATCAGAAATAATCCATTGGAACTATTTAAAGTTGGTGTGTTCTATATACCTTGTTCACCAAAAGAGTTTCTGTGTACTAGAATAGAAAGTGGGAGCTGAATAATTGGGTTTTGGGTCTTTGACTCTTTTCCTCCATTGCCAGTGGTAGTGGAAAAGCTCCTTCGCCCTCCCAGAACTTCGCTTTATCAAGCGTAAAATGGAATGATGAAATCAGATGAATTCCATGCTCCCTTTGGAAATGAGTTTTCCTGTGGAAAGTCAAACTTTCCAACTTTAAACATAGAAGCCAAGTTAAAGTGACAACAAACTTCGAAAGGCTAACAGAAATTATTTCCTGGCCAAAAAAATCTAGGAGGAAAAAGGGTTTGTTAAATATTTAATGACAATAACTAGTGACAGTCAACTTTGATGTCATCAGACCAGAGCAGATTTCCATTCTGAAAACTTTTAGCCGTGGTAATTATGAAAGATAGACTATTAGCTGAGCACTGGTGGCTCACGCCTATAATCCTAGCAACTCAGGAAGCTGAAGATGGTGGTTCAAAGCCAGCATGGGCAGGAAAGTGTGTGAAACTCTTACCTCCAATTAACCATCAAAAAGTTGGAAGTAGAGCTGTGGCTCAGGTGGTAGAACACTAACCTTGAGCACAAAATCTCGGGAACAATGCCCAGACCCAGAACTTAAGCCCCAAGACTGGCACACAAAATAAGTAAGAAAGACAGCCTATTGTCCCTGATGTCAAACCAGGAATAACAAGAACTACCTCTCAGTACGTCCGTCTATGACACCCACCAAAAAAAGGAAATGAGCTCAGCATTTCTTATTGTAATGCCTACAATGTCTGGTATCCAATGAGGTATCCAATAAATATTTATTGAATCAGTTAATGGTTTTCCCTCCTCCTCAGAGTTCAGCAGTATTTGGCTTAGGAGTTGTTACATTGGGCCTATCCCTACTATAATAGGCACATAATAATTACAAACTGTAATCATAATATAATGACACGCAGAATATAATACTATAATCAAGAATATGTATTTAGCATGCTTTTTATAGCAGGTACTGTTCTAACCATTTGATTTATACACTCTCTCTTCAACAGATAAAAAGGGTAATAGACCAAAACCTGAGAGCTGTCATTTTCTGTGTGAATGAGTTGGGAGGGAAAGAGTTCGACTTACAATTATTTTAGACAGAAGGGTCCTGAGATTGTTTTTTGTGCTACAAGAGGAAAATATTGGTTGCTTTGCTCCTATAGTATCTTCTACAAACCTCATTTTATCTTCACTTCCCACTTGGCTTGTGCTTGGCCTCCAGTTCCACTGATATATTTTAATCCTGTACATGCCTATACATTGGCCTTATGTATAAAGTCATACCTGCTTCTGGGATAGCTGATCTATTGTTACCAAGTCTCCCAAATGACCTATGGGAGCTCATTATTGTAATAGGCTGAGGTAGCCAGCCAAAAAGGCCACACTCCAACACGCACTCTAAATCATTACAGCTAAACATGTCTGAGCACTAATTATTCTCTTGGGTGACAGGGAAATAGCCTAACTATCCCTACCAGAGTCCTTTTTTTTTTCAGTCCCCTACCTCATTCATTCCCTTCTGAGTCTTCCCTGATCTGGGTCCAAGAACACTTCTATTTTTTAAAAAAAAGTTTTCATTATTACAAAGGTAAGGTAGAGAGGGGTCACAGTTACGGGAGTCAGGTAAAGAGTCATTTCTTTTTGGACAGTGTCACTCAAAAACACTTCTTTTTGCAATAAAATGCAACCTTCCATTTTAAAAGCCCTTTGGTGGAAGTACCCCCTCAGAGAGAGAGAGAGAGCAAGACTTGCAGGAAGACATAGAAGTAAAAATACTTCCAACAGAAAGGTTAATAAAATATAGTTTAAAAGTAGCCTGGCACTTTAGGTAACTTGAAGATAACTCTTGGTCTTCTAGCTGCCTTCCCTGCCCTCCCTGCCCCCACAACACACTTTTTAATATATACACTCTTACAAATTTTGTAACAACCAAATAAAGTTCTAGCAATAAATTGAATTATACTGCTATATTTGTATACACCGTACCATAAATAGTGTGTCTGTACCTGGAAGGTATTTTTTTGAGAACTGATTTATATGAAATATATTGAGGGTAATGTAGCTTGTCCTTTTTAGTTTTGAGTTCTTATTCATAGGCAGATACTTTCAGGACACTTTAACTCTTTGTGGTATGTACTTTTGTTTTGCATCTCCTTTTAGTTTTTCTTCTCATCTGGAGCTTGTCTGCAAGCATCACCCCTGAGCCATGTGTAGTGCCATCCCCTCCCCTACCAAGTTAGCAGTGTCTCCATACTGCACTTGGTCCCATGATACCATGTCATTTGTCCCAGACAGAGGTAGGTATCTTGACACTACCTTTGTTCAAAGTTGAACAGACTCACTGGCCTAAGAGCCACAGCAGCCTATCACACAATGTTGATTTGGGATTTTCATTTGTATGTTGTCCTAATTTATCAGCCTGTGCCTGCACTGAGCAATAGTGAACCCTCACCGGCCACATCTCAGCGTTGAGAAAGAGATTGGGTAGTAGTGAGTTTGCCTTTGGTTTCAAATCCTTTTGTCCTTAAAGTCTGGTGATTCCTAGTGCTTCTCTCCTAAATTTCAAAACTAATTTGTTTTGTTGACTCATGCTTTCTGGAGTAATGTTTACTTAAAGAACTTCCTCAAGTCCAATAGGGTAGCTCACACCTGTAATCCTTGCTCTGGGGAGGCTGAGGCAGAAGGAAGGATCAAGAGTTCAAGACCAGCCAGGCGCTGGTGGCTCAGGCCTGTAATCCTAGCTACTTAGGAGGCTGAGATCTGAGGATTGCGGTTCAGAGCCAGCCCGGGCAGGAGAGACTGTAAGACTCCTATCTCCAATAAACCACCAGAAAACCGGAAGTGGCGCTGTAGCTCAAGTGGTAGAGTGCTCGCCTTGAGCTGAAGAGCTGAGGGACAGCGCCCAGAGTTCAAGCCCCACGACCGACAAAAAAAAAAAAAAGAGTTCAAGACCAATCTGAACTTGTAAATCAGTCAGACAGGTAATGTGGAAATAAAGCCAAAGGAAGAGAACACCTGGCTTCAAGATGAATTCAGGGTTGTCTGAAGGCAGAGTAGTGCCTGGCCTTCAGAAATGGGTCCTATGCAACAAAGCCAAAGAAGTGGGCGCCCCCTACTTCTGCATTTTGCCTTCCTTGTGGTTTCCTTTCTTTGCCTTTGCTGGTCATCGCTCCTCAACACCCAGCCTGCCAGTCACAGTGCAAGGTTTTGATTGTGATGGGCTCATGTTCACAATGGCCTATTTTAGTGACAGCTTTTGTTTGCTACACACCTCATTGGCTTGCTTGCCAACACCAGCTAGATGTGTGTCCTTTCATTTCCAAACCAGAACACATTTGTGTATTCCTGTGACTTGATAGAGCATGTATTGTAAATGAACCTAACCTACCTTGTTTTCTCATTTTAAGAAATGTAAATCTACTTTGTTTTAGAAGATCGATTTTGGAAATGGATAAATGATTTTGGTTCCCTTAGGGAATTAATCAAGGGTTTCGTGACTTGAGCTTTGCCATTTTTATTTGTCTAAATAAAATATTTCCTTCCTTTCAAAAAAAAAATACTTCCAACAGACAGACTAGATTCAAATTCTGATGCTGCCATCCCATCAACAAAAAAACGTATAGGAGTTATTTAATCTCATAAATATCAATTTTCTCATTGTAAAAACGTCCTCATTTGATGACTCCTACCTCAATAAAAAGGTTGTTTTGATAAGTTAATGCCATTTGAGTAAGAAAACATTAGCACAAAACATGATACATTAAAAAAAATCACTAAATGAAAATAAACTAACAGTCTCACTAACTCCGTCTCTTAGGTCATCGCTATGTAGCTTTCTTTCCTCCTGACCTTTTTCATTGTGGTGAACACTATTCATTTTCTCTTTAATGTCACCACCTGGATAGGTTACTGTGTACAGGTTGGTTAGTGTCTCTGGATCTAAGTAAATTGAGTTCGCTGTCCAAGAATTCCAGATGCTCTAAAAGTCTGGTGCTTTAAATCAGTGTTTGTCTTTCTTACCTATAGAAAAAGAGTTTCTATGTTTCAAGGAAATTAAGTTAGCAATCCCCAGTCTGTAAAGAAAAAGGGCATACATAAAAAAATATCTTCTCTATGAAGGAATACAGTTAACTGAGATTCTTGCTAAACAAGATAACAGACTTAATTTAGGGAAATTTAGTGACTGAAATCACTGCAAACAAAGAGGTCAATAATTCCCCAAATCAACTATAAACTTATATCGGGTAAGAAATAAAGTAATCGAAGAGATCTTGAGGCTGAATGAGGCCAACCAACTCTGAATTAATTCTGATACTTAATTAAGACCTGGGAAATTCACACAGTAAACTTGGTGATTGAATTCTATATATTGTCCTAGAAAAAGATAATAAGGAAGGGTAACTATGGATTTTGTCTGTGACACCAATTCTGATTATGGTCATAATAACTAAGCAAAGTAACTTAGAAAATCCTAAAAAATGCCGGGCACTGTAAGCTCACACCTGTAATCCTAGCTACTTAGGAGGCTGAGATCTGAGGATCACGGTTCAAAGCCAGCCCCAGCAAGGAAAGTCCATGAGACTCTTATCTCCAATAAACCACTAGAAAACCGGAAATGGCGCTGTGGCTCAAGTGGTAGAGCGTTCGCCTTGAGCTGAAGAGCGCAGGGACAGCGCCCAAGCCCAGAGTTCAA